GTTATGCTGGGTAATTCCTGAAATACTGATACTTAAGCTGGGATTCCACGACTGAAAACTCTAAAATCTACACTCTTCCTTTCAATTTCCAGTTTGTTTGTTTGTTTTTAAAGATTTTATTTATTTATTTTAGAAAGAGGGGAAGGGAGGTAGAAGGAGGGAGAGAGACATCAATGTGTGGTTGCCTCTCACGTTCTGACAAGGCCCACGACCCAAGCATGTGCTCTGACCAGGAATGGAACTGGCCACCCTTTGGTTTTAGGCTGGCACTCAATCCACACCAGCCAGGGCCAATTTCAAGTTTTGTCACAATTTCACATATTCAATAGCAAAAGAGGTCAAGGATATAGTGAGCAAATAGAAGCATTTGTCTACAGTAAGCTGCCAATTACCAGTTAGGTTATTAGATTATACTGATGGTGATTTATTGTGGCACCTGAAAAAAAGAGGTAGAAAAATAAAAATAATGACAGCTATTCCTTACTAAGTATCTACCATATGCTAAGCACTTTTATGTGGATTATCCTATGTAACCCTCCTAACAATCCTGCAAAGTACATACTGTTCACTTAGTGCTATGGAAGCTTACATCTCGGAGAGATGAATGACTTTATCAAGGCAATGCAAGTAAAAAGTGGCAGAAGTGGGATTCAAATTCAGAGTTCTCTGACTGTACAACCTAAGTCTCAAAGGATTCTAACTGCCCTTATTATCAACAACACCCAACTCTCTTGGTTTTTGTTCACCATACTACCTTCTACTCCATGGATATAGTAAACACAAATCCTGACTGACATAAAATATTTTTTCCAATGCAAATGATTCATCAAAAATCTAAATGAGATTCATTTTTTAAACCTTTGTAAGAATCTTTATATACAAATTTGGAAATTAGGAAAAAAAACAAGGTCCGTGACTACCACATGTCTCAGCTGCCAGCTCCAGAAAGTTGGTCACTAAAAAACCTATGGACTAACAGTGGCTTGAGCGTAGGCCTGTGAACCAACGAGTTGTTGGATTCCCAGTCAGGGCACATGCCTGGGTTGCAGGCCAGGTCCTCAGTAGGGGGTACACGAGAGGCAACTACACATTGATGTTTCTCTACCTCTCTTTCTCCTTCCCTTCCTCTCTATAAAAATAAATAAATAAAATCTTAAAACCAAAAACAAAAAACTCCTATGGACTGAGCCCTGGCTGGTGTGGCTGGCTCAGTGGATTGAGCACCAGCCTGTGAACCAAAGGGTCACTGGTTTGATTCTCGGTCAGGGCATGTGCCTGGGCTACAATCCAACTCCCCAGTGTGGGTGTGTGCAAAAGGTAACCACACATTGATGTTTCTCTCCCTCTCTTTCTCCCTACCTTTCCCTCTCTCAAAAAACAAATAAATAAAATCTTAAAAACAAACAAAAAACTAATGCCTGAAATGCCCTTTAATCGTTCCTCTTCTCCCCCATGAAGTTTGCAAATTTACTCATCTTTAAGGGTCCAAATCAAATGGCAACAATGTTAACACTTTTATAGCAGTATTTGCCAACTTTTTCATACCATGACACACAGAGAACATAATATTTGTATGGTACACTGGGGTAAAGAACAAAGCTGCTTATAGCCACCCAGGCTCCTCTCATCTGCCCCAATGCCAAGGGCAATCAAAACTTCCAAAGCAGCCCTGGCTCATGTGGCTCAGCCGACTGAGCTCTGCCTGCGAACCAAAAGGTCACTGCTTCGATTCCCAGTCAGGGCATTATGTCTGGGTTGCAGGCCAGGTCCCAAGCTGGGGGCATACATGAGGCAATTGATATATCTCTCACACATCTGATGTTTCTCTCCCTCTCTTTCTCCCTCCCTTCCCCTCTCTCTAAAAATAAATAAAATATTTCAAACAAACAAACTTCCAAAGTACCACACACAAACTTTCATTCTTGCACTTGTCACATATATACTGAAAGACTGTTTCACTTGCTTGTCTCTTCTGCCAGACTCTGAGCTCTCAGCAGAGTGGGATGCAGTTTTACTTATTTTATATTTCCAGCAACTAGAACAGGACCTGGCACCTACTAAGTCCTCAAAACAGAGTACTGAACTGAATCCTGCAAACCTCCTAAACAGTCTTTCAAACTATAAACACAGCAACAACTGTGAGGCTGGGCTATTCAATATCTTCTTCCTAAATTCAGGAAAAAAAAATTAGCTGTTACCAACATATTCTAAGAGGGATTGTCTACTTCCACCTCTGGAAAAGAGTTACTTCCCCTTTATAAATCCATTCATTTAACAATATTTATGAAGTACCTACTTGATGGCAGGTATGTGGGATAGCAGTGAGAGAGACATTCTCTGCCTTGCTCTTAGGAAACTAGAAAGATAGAGACATTAAACAGTTCCATACTTATCTGTAGGTGAAATAAACTCTTAAAAGGGACATATAGGACAGAATACAGATAAATAGATAAATCTCAATAATGACAGAGTGTCAAAGAACTGAAAACACAAATTCTCAGGCAAAAAAGACCAACCAAGTGTCAAAGAGAAAATCTACAATTAAACACCCAGTAGTGAAACTTCAAAGCTTCAGGGATAAATATGTGCTAACAGATTGCTGGAGGATGAGGAAAGAGGAGAAGCAAAAGACACCAAGGATAACTCTAGGTCTCTGGCCTAAGAAACAGGAAGAACGAGAAGACTGGGGAAGGTGAAGGGTAAAACTCAAAATGTCAGTCATTTAAGAGATGCACAGTGAGAGCTGGATATACAATAATAAAAGCCTGGAGTTCAAGAAAGAGCACTAGGTTTGAAAATGGGAACTTGAGAGTTGTCAAAACAGATGGTATTTATATATAAAACCTTGAAATATATAACTCCTGGGAAGTGAAAGCAGGGAAGAGATTAGTATGAGACCTTGGGACAGTACAATCATTCAAGGAAGAGGGGCAAGGACCAGCAAAGGAGAGGCCAGAGAGAGCTGAGGCTAAGGGCGTGAATGTTCTCCACGGCATCCGAACAAGGTGTTTCAAGAAGGAGCAGTGATCGGCTGCATCAAACAGTGAATTTGGCGACCTGGAGTTCACTGGTTGCTTTGACAAAGACCTATTTCAGTGGAGCGGTGTGGGCCAAGGCTTGACTGGACTGGGGCCGAAAGAGACTCGTTGGAGAAAAGATACTAATGAACAGATTGAAGCTTTGGCTGCAAATGGGGACAGAGTTGAGAAAAGGCAACTGGAGGTATCATGAGGGAGAATGAGGTTATTTTGTTAAAAGGGGCACATCTTGAGAACAGGATAAAAACTGTCAGAATTTAGAGCCCATCCTCAGCCCTCGTCGTCTCGCACCTGGGCTGAGTACCCCACCTTCGCTGGCCTCCGCAGAAATCTCCGCCTGTGGCTGCTTCCCAAGTTCGCGAAACCTGCCGGCGCACGGGTTGACCCCAAAGGCCCGAGCGGGCCCTCCTTCCCCGAGCCCCGCCTCTCTTCAGGGAGACGGGCGAGCGCGCGCACTGCCTTTACAGGAGTGGAGGAGTGGGGGCGCAGTGGGAGGACCCTAGCCCTCCTCTCCCCCCCATTCCCCCAGGGTCTCACAAAGCGACCCATCCCCACCTACCGAACCACAGGCTGAACAAGCTCGTTGCGATGGAAACTGCGAGGGCACGCGTCGGCTTGCCCCTGGAATGCTTTCCAAAGCCTGTGGATAATAACGCGCTGGCTTTCGAAGATTCCCGGCACGTCGAGAACCGCGCTTTTTTCCCTTTTACTAGCAGAGTCGCTGCGCGGACGACCCCTCTACGCGCGCCGTTCTTTTTCCGTGACGTGCCGCGCTGCCCCTTGGGAAATGTAGTTTTTGCTTTACACACTTTCACACTCTAAAGCCGACTCTTATTTTAACAAACCAGGGTCCTTGTAGATTTTCAGTATTCTTTCCTATTCCTCAAAACTTCTGTAAGAGAATGATTTTTCTTTGTTATTAAATTTCTTGGGGTAACACTGGTTAAAAAGAATACTTTTTTTAAAAACTAAAAAAGAATATTGTTAATTGAGGAAGAGCAATGGGTGTATGAGAACTCTGTTTTCTCCTTCAACTTTGCTGCAAACCTAAAACTGCTCTAAAAAGAAGTCCATTTATTAAATTTTTAAAATAATTTTTAAAAAACCAAGCAAATCCGTATACCCAGAAATCGTGCTTTTAGTGAACCTCCGCAGGAACATATTAAGGATATGAGCAAACATTTAACTATAATAGTTTGTGTGATAATATCTTATAGTTTCTTACATAACCCCTACCGAAGTTATGACGACATATTTATCAGTTTGGTTATTTGATACACTGGCCAACTCAGTGAGGTTAGGATCATCTGTTTTGTTCACCTGTGTGTTCCCAGTACCTGGTATAGTGTCTGGCACATAATATCCCCTCCATATTTTTGTATTTATTAGAAGAATCTGAGACTTCAACACAAACTGTTTCAGCCCAAAATTTCACACATCATTTTCATCCATCAAACTTTCTTTTCCTTCTGTGGTGTCTATCTCAATGAATGGGATGACCATTTACTTAGCCTCAGCTCTATATTCTGCATTTTATGAGATTTATGCCACCAGCAATTTCGCAAAGTTTGCATTTGTAAAGGCCTCAGGAGCTATTTTCCCTCAATGTCAAATATGGACCTTAGTTGCTCCACAGGATATATTTGGAACTCAAAATAATTTGTTTGAATCTTTCTGTAATTTCTGTTGTTCCTACAATAAAACTGTATTACTTGATTAATATTTATTATTTATTTGTTTGTTTGTTTATTTATTTGTTGTTCTATTACAGGTGCCCCAATTTTCCCCGGTTGCTCTGCCCTGCCCTGCCCACCCCTTTCACCCTTGCTCCCACAGTCAATCCCCACCCTGTTGTCCATGTCCAAGGGTCATGTATACTTGTTTTTAACTAGGCCCTTCTGCTTCTTTCCTCCCCTCTGGTCCCTGTCAGTCTGTTCCTTGTTTCCACACCTCTGGTTCTATTAAAAATGTGGAAGCTCCACAAATTTGCATGTCGTCCTTGTGCAGGGGCCATGCTAATCTTCTCTGTATCATTCCAATTTTAGTATGTGTGCTGCCAAAGTGAGCACTACTTGATTAGTTTTTAAAAAATGTTTTAGAGTATTGTCCGTATGTTAGGGATAGCTCTGTCCTCACCTTCACATCCAAATTCCTCAAAAAGAATTGTGGGTCGTCACTTTTCATTTTCTCACCTCCCACTCGGCAACAATGGTCCAATCCAGTACCCGGAGTTAATTCTTGAAAACACCCTTTCCCTCCCTTTACATATTCAATTCATCACTAAGTGTCTGCAATATAAAAATAAGAACAGCTTGAGTTTGTTGGACACTTACTATGTACTTATCAGGCACTGCTGAAATGCATTACATGTATTCATTTGTATACCATAGCAGATCCACTTTTCATCTCTACCACATCCACCCTAGGACAAGGTGCCTTCCCTCTTGGCAAAAGAAGTACAGAATCTTTTCATTTTTTAAAATCCTGGATGCAGAGATTGAGTTACTCATTTTTAAAGAGACCCTCACCCGAGGATTTTTTTTTTGAGAGAGATCGAGAGATCAATTGATTGCCTCCTGCATGTGCACAAACCAGGGGTCAAACCCACAGCCTAGGTCCTAGGTATGTGCCCTGACCAAGTAGGGAATCAAACCTGCAACCTTTTGGTGTAAGGCAAGCTCCAACCAACTAAGCCACCTGGCCAAGGGTCATTTCTCACTTTATGGCACAGTATCATTCTGCAATTGCTTCTCTCTTGATTTATATGTTTATGGTCTTTTATTTCTTTTTTTTTCTACTCTTGCCAGCTTCCCCAGTGGTATGTGGGAGTGTCTTTGGAAAACATGTGTGTTGTTTAGTGTGCATGTATTTTTAATGTACCTAAGTGGTATTGTGCTATGAACCTCACTCTATTGCTTACTCTTTCCACTCAGCACCATGCTTTTAAGACCTGTCCTTGTTGCTGTGTGTATATTTAGTCTGTTACTTGGAACACCTGTGTAATATTTCATAACATTTTAGTTATTCAGACCCATGATGATGGACTTGTGACAGTGAACACCCCGTGCATGCTCCCTTGTGGCCCGTGTGGAGATTTTTCTAGGATGTATTGCAATATCTCCACTAAGAGGACTGAATAATAGTCTCTTAAATTGTCTCCCCTCATCTATTCTGCCTAGGGAAATCTTAAAATGCAAGTGTGTTCATGTTCATCCTTCCCCAAAGCCTCCTCTTATCCATTTTCCCTTTCCAGTCTTCTTCAGGTCTCTCCTACCCGCCACGTCCCTCCTCTCCTACATGGCTTCTGCAAAGGCAGCCTGGAGCACATTTCCTTGCACTTTCCCTCCATATCTCCTTCTCATCTTCAGAGCCTCCTGCCTGGGCCAAACCCTCTGTTATAATCTTTCAAAGCAAGTGTAGATTTCCTGCAATTGTGACAATTTACATTTGTGACATAATCTGATTTATGTCTGTCCTACCTCTTATGTTACATTATAAACTCGATGAAGTATCTTCAGTACTTTAGTATTTTTTAGTACTTTTGTACCTTTAGTACTTAGCCTAGTGCCCAGAAGATAATATAAATATTTTTTAAATGAAAGAGTAAATGAAGATGTAATCTTTGCCCAGGGAGGGCTATTGAGGGGAGAGTGTCTTGGTAGAGTGACTGCTATAGAATTTGGTCCACAGCTCTGCAGGACCAGAAATTCCATTTTGTCAGCAACATCTCAGGATGGATGACTCCTGATGCTGCTCACCGGAGACTGAGGTATAAACCAGGAGCCTGTTTAGTCATATGGGAAGAGTTAGAACTTTAGTGCTGACCAGAACTTCCTTGGTCTGGGCAGCAGTCCTTTCCTGAGAGAGAGCCACAGACCAGCAAAGAAATATGGGACTTCCTAGTCTATTAAGTTTCATTGCTTCAGATCATCACACTTGAAATGCTTTCCTGAAGAGCCTTGAAAAGTCACAGGGATCTCCACTGAAGTTTTTTTGAGAATATGAGGAGGATGTTACATAACTTCCTAACAATCCCTTTACAAATCCTTCCCTTCACAGACTTCTGCTGCTGAGGGCAGTGCTCACATCACTCCCTCCTCTTTACTTTCTCTCTCTTCAGAATTGGCTTTTTGCATAGTGGCTTCAGGCACCATCTTCACAAAGCCAGCTACACTTCTCTCAGCGTGTCCCTGTTCATGCCCACCAATCATCCACTTGAGGAAAACAAAGAAGGCTCTCTTTTAGGATCTGACCTCCCATGGAAGGTAGGTGGGGAAAATTGTAACTATTTACATTTAATGGTATTGTCCCTAACACACTCAGCAGAAGCCATATCAGAAGGTGGCATAGTATGCATGGAACCCAGTAGAGGAAGGGGATGAAATAAATTAACTCTTAAAAATTGCAGCTTCCAGCCAAGATGGAGGCATTGGTAGATATGCTTCGCTTCCTTGCACAACCAAAAGAAGGATAGCAGCAAATTTAAAAGCAAAAAACTAACCAGAACTGCCAAAAAATCAAACTCTATGGAAGTCTGACAACCAAGGAGTTAAAGAAACATTCATCCAGACTGATAGGAGGGGCAGAGATGGGAACCTGGAGTGGTGAGGATGTGCAACAAGGAAGTGGCTGGCACACCAGGATATCCCACATTTGTGTATCAATAAGCTGGAAGAAACAACTGGGGAGCAAGACAGACCACATAACCCAGGGTTCCAGCATGGAAAACTAAAGCCTCAAAAATCTGGCTTTAAAAACCTCAGGGAGTTACAGTGGTGGGAGAAACTCCCAATCACAGGAGAGTCTATTAGAAGGGCCTATAGTATCCTAGAATGTACACAAAGCCACCCACTCAGGAATCAGCACCTGCAAGTGCACAGTTGGCTTGTGGGAAGCAAGGGAAGTGACTGAGAATGGGGCAAGAGCCAAGCAAGTGACATTGTTCCCTCTCTGACTCCTCCCCCATATATAGCACCACAGCACAGTGAAGTGGGTTGCCCACCCTGAGAATACTTAAGGCTCTGCCCCTGACAATGTAACAGGTACACTAAGACAAAGAAATATGGCCCAAATGAAAGAACAGATTAAAATTCCAGAAAAAACTAAGAGACCAGGAAATAGTCAACCTGTCAGATGCAGAATTCAAAATGCTGGTAATCAGGGTGCTCACAGAAATTATTGAGTACAGTTTCAAAATAAAGGAAGAAGTGAAGGCTACTCAAAATGAAATAAAGCAAAACATACAGGGAATGAACAGTGAAGGGAAGGAAATCGGGACTCAGATCAACGATTTTGAACAGAAGGAAGAAGTAAACACTCAACTGGAATAGAATGAAGAAACAAGAATTCAAAAAAAATGATGAGAGTCTTAGGAACCTCTGGGGCAACTTTAAATGTTCCAATAGCTGAATCATAGGGGTACTAGAAGAAGAAAAAAGGAAGAGCAAACAATTAAAAACTTATTTGAAAAAATAATGAAGGAAGACTTTCCCAATTTTGCGAAGGAACTAGACATGCAAGTCCAGGAAGTTCAGGGAGTCCCAAAGAAGTTGGATTCAAGGAGAAACACACCAAGATACATCACAATTAAATGACCCAAGATTGAAGATGAGTGAATCTTAAAAGCAGTGAGAGAGAAAAGGAGACAGTTACCTACAAAGGAGTTCCCATAAGACTATCAGCTGATTTCTCAAAAGAAATCTTGAAGGCAAGAAGGGGCTGGAAAGAAGTATTCCAAGTCATGAAAAGTGAGGACCTACAACCTAGATTACTCTATCCAGCAAAACTATCATTTAGAACGGAAGGGCAGATAAAGTTCTTCCCAGATAAGGTCAAGTTAAATGAGTTCATCACTGCCAACCCATTATTACATGAAATGTTAAAGGGACTTATCTAAGAAAAAGAAGACCAAAACTATGAACAGTAAAATAACAACAAACTCACAACTATCAAGAACTGAACCTAAAAACAAAAACTAAGCAAACAACTAGAACAGGAACAGAATCACAGAAATGGAGATCACATGGAGGGTTATCAGTGGGGAGGTGGAGGGGGAGCAATAGGGGAAAAGGCACAGGGAATAAGCATATTTGGTAGGCACAAAATGGACAGGTGGAGGTTAAGAATAGTATAGGAGCCCTGGCTGGTGTAGCTCAGTAGATTGAGCATGGGCTGCAAACCAAAGGTTGCCAGTTCGATTCCCAGTCAGGGCACATGCCTAGGTTGTGGGCCAGGTCCCCAGGGGGGGCCAAGTGAGAGGCAACCACACATTGGTATTTCTCTCCCTGTCTTTCTCCCTCCCTTTCTCTCTCTAAAAATAAATAATAAAATCTTTAAAAAAAGAATAGTATAGGAAATGGAGAAGCCAAGGAACTTATATATGTATGACCCATGCACATGAACTAAGGTGGGGGGCGGATGTTGGAGGGGGTGAATGCAGGGTGGAGGGGGATAAAGGAGAAAAAAGTGGGACAATTGTAAGAGCATAGTCAATAAAATATACTTAAAAATTGCCTTTTCCACCTACTTCTAAAATAGGTATACACTGTGAAAAAGTCAAACATTGCAGAGATCTAACATCTGTAATGGAGAAAGTCAAAGTTCTTTACAACCCTATTCTAGGATATAACCAGAATTCTCCACAGATGTTTAGTGAGAGTTTTGGTACACATCCCATTGCTCTCCCCTCACAGCTGCACCCCACTCTCCCACCACCCACTTAGCCTGCAAGGAGCTAGTCATCCCTAGCAAGAGATTATTTCAATGGATTTTCCTCTGTAAGGATGAAGTAATTTTCAGATTGAATAAGCCATGAAGAAGCACTCAAAGATCACCCTGACAGATCCCAACAATCCTCTTGAAATTCCTCAGGATAACACCTTTGAAGACCAGTCCTCCATAGGGGGCTCCAGGAGCATATCACCATCCAGGTGTGGTCTACTGAAATCAACTAGAGCATATGAAACCTGGATTGGCATTTATACAGTCAAAGATTATCCAGGAAATCTTCATAAAAAATTAGTGATAAAAAAGCCCTGCTGCTCAGTTGGTTAGAGCATCATCCTGATAC